CGAAGGGGGCTGCGAGGACCTTCTTCCGTTTCAGGCGGTCAACCTCAGACGCGAGGGAATCGACGCGCACGGTCCTGGCGAGGCGGACGCGAGCGGAAGGCGGCGCGCCGGGCCGACAGTGAGGGGGTGGGCGCGCCTTGGCCAGGCCGAGGCGGGCAGGTTGGCCAAGGTGACTGCGCCCAGCTTCGCCTGGACGTCCACGTGCACCGTGGAGGCGTCGTCCTTGTTGAGAATGCGGGTGAGCTCCGTCAGCGGATCCGCTGCGGGCGCCGCTGGGCCGGCCGGCCGGGCGGTTCCGGCGGGGGCGAACTCCTTCTTCGCCGCCTGCGAGACGGCGTCGCGAAGCGACGGCGGAGCGGGGTCGGGCGCGCGCGGGCCTGGACGGCCATGTCGAGAGCGTGCGCCTTGCCGGGCGAGTCGGCAATCGTGCTCGGATCTACATACACGAGGGTCTGGGGTGTGAACACCTGACGCGCGGACGGAGAGGGAGGGGGGAAGGCGAGGCGCGCGCGCGCGGGTCGGCCGGCGGGCGGACGCGCGCCTGATGCTTGTTGAGCAAAGCGGCCATGTCCTTGACCCAGCCGTCTTTGTCGGGCGCCCCAGGCGGCACGGCATGTTTCGCAAGGAAAGAGAGCATTGCTTCGGCCGCCGACATGGCGGTGATCGCGTGCGCTGCGAAGGGAGGCGATGACTGGCTTCGGTCGCTCAGTGCGGCGCGCCGCGCCCGCTCGGGTCTCCTTGCCCGGGCGACCCAGCTGGGGGTCTGACGGTTGGGCGGGAGCCTCGGAATAACCGAAGTACGAACGGCAGCGAGAGCCGCCGACGAGCTAACGGGCCAGCCGTGGAGGCCCGAGAGCGACGGCGATCGAGCCACACGCATGGTGCCACGCTTAGCGATCCGCGGGTCCCGGGAGCGCGGGAGGGGCCGGCGGGGTGGCGGAGCCCGATGAGCCGACCCGGACCGCGCCGCCCGGACCATCCGCCGGAGCCGCCGGCCGCCGTCGTCGAGAAGCCGACCCGGACCGCGCCGCCCGGACCATCCGCCGGGGCCGCCGGCCGCCTTCGTCGGGAAGCCGAGCCGGAACGTGCCGCTCGGACCGTCCGCCGGGGGCGCTCGCCATTGTCATCCGCTGCTGCCAGGATTTCCCGGGCCGGTAGAGGGCCCGCCCGGGCCCGGTCCCGCGCGCCGCGAGCCGACCCCGGCCGCGGCGACGAGGGTGGGGAGGCCACCAGAAGCCCGGCGCGGCGAGCCTGTTTCGTGCACCGCCATGGCACCAGGTGTCTTTAAACAGGAAGGGGCAGCCCCGCACCCTCCCTGGAGGGCATTTCCCTGCCCCAAGGGGAGCGCCCCGCGATTCTGTCCGAGGTATTACGCGACTCGGACCCCTGCCTTCGCCAGCGCGGCCGCCGCGACTGCGTCTAGGAAGTGGCCCAGCATGGCGAAGGTAATCTGAGCCCAGATCGGACTCTCTTCTCCGTCGGCCGCTGCCCATAGGATCCCATAGGCGCGGGCCGCCGCGGGACTCCACCATAGCAGGCCGTGCACCGAGTACACCGACATGTCCTGGGAGCACCGATCAATCAGTACCTCCTGCGCGGCCGCCGCGACAGGGGCGCTCGCGACGGGTCGCATCGGCGGATCACGCGCGCGCGGGGGCGACCGCTCGCGCGCGGCTCAGGCTCCTGAAGCAGGTGCCCCCAGCGGGATGCGCCCTCCCCGATGCCGGGGCCGATGTCTCCGAAGCACGCGCGGCAGCCTGCTGAGAGATGGAACCCCTTCGCGCTGCATTCGTCGCGAAAGAATCGGCAATCGAAGGCTACCGCTCCCGGTTTCGTCGGCCGGAAGCAATGCACGCACGGGACGATCCCCTGCGTCGTCAGGCCCACGGCCCTGACATCCGTCGCGGAGCGTCGCGCGCGCGCACGGGCGGGGGGAACGCGGCGAAGCGCCGGCACAAGGCCACGCAAGGTGAGGACGACGTCGAGACGCACCTGTCTGGGCGCCCACCCGTCCTTCGCGCGGCGCCGAGCGAGGCGACCTGTGGCGCGACCGCTGCGGAGGGGCCTCCAGACCGAGTATCTCACATGCGCCAACGAGGCGTGCAGACGCTCCATCCAAGGGTGGCCCATCCCCTTCCAGCACGTGCAGTTGTTGCAAACCTGCAAAGAGGGTCGAACGCGCGCGCGGGTCGGAGCCTCTCCCCGCGGCGCGCGGCGCGCCTGCGGAGCCCCGAGTCTGCCTCCGCCCCCCAAGGCAACGCGGAGCATCTCCCCAAGAGGGGAGGCACTTCGCTGCGCCCTGCGTCTGGGGCCGCCCGCATGCGCGCCATGCGGCGGGCGCGCTGTACCCCGCGCAGCCAGTTCCAGCGGGTCCGCGCGGCGAGCCCGACCCCGTGGGCGAAGCCGGCAGCTGCGAAAAGAAGCACTGCGAGCTCGGCGATCATCTCGCCCTCAGCGTCCGTCGCGATTCAAAGCGAGACGTGATGCGGGCTGCGCTGCCACGGCTAGGCGCGCGTTGGGACGGAACGGGAAGCGCGAACGGTAGCCGCACCACCGGTTGACCGGGAATCCGCGGCCGACCGCCGACGGACCGACCGGGCTGCAACTGGCGAGTCCTCTAACCCTCATGAGGGTGCCGGGCTGTGGCCGGGCGCGGGCACGCCCCATGGCCATCTGAGGCCGGCAGGCGCGGCGCTGGAGCCGAAGCGCAGCGTATCGGCACGGCGCGGGCCCCAGTGGGCCGTTGCCAGAAGCCGCAGCAGGGCCCCATTGGGCCTGAGCGACCAATGCACCGCGGGCCCCGGTGACCCGCTCTCCTGAGCCGGCACGCAGACCCAGCGCAGGGGCGGAGGACGCACTGCGCCACCGGAGCCGAAACGAGCACCTCGGCACGGCGCGGGCCTCAATGGGCCGTCGCCAGACAATCGCATCAGTGCCCCAGTGGGCCTGAGCGACAACCTCCCAGTGGGGCCCCAATGGGCCGACCGAGCACGTCCATTGACCATGCCGGCGGAACTGGGGGGGGCGTTGACGCGTCGCCGGGAGCCGCGAATACTGCGACGCGGGCCCCAGTGGGCCGTCGCACCGCTCCCAAAGGGCCCCAGTGGGCCGACCGTACACGTCCAGTGATCGCGCCGGCCAAAAGGCGACAGGGCGCGCGGATGGGCGCAGCCTCGGGCGCGCGTGCGCCGGCTATTGGGCACGCACCACGCCGACCGGTCGAGACGACAGCCAGACCGGCCGGGATCTCCGCGATCCACCTGCCCGCCAGTGCGGGCGTGGGCGCGGGGAAGGGGAACCGCGGATCCCGTGGCAGGGTGCCTGGGCGCCACAACGTCCCGGGTCTCCTACCGCGGGTCCGCGATACCCTCGCGCATGGTAGCGCAGAGGCCCGACCATGGGCCAAAAGAAAGTTTCGAGCCACGGCAAAACGACGAGGGGCGGACGGGGCGCCGACCCGGGACCCAGCGCGCCCGCCGCAAGCCGAGCCGCGACCAGCAGAGGCGACGAGGGAGCTGAGCACCGCGCCCGAGGAAGGACCAGGAGCGCCCAGAACCGGGGAGGGGCACCGGGCCGGGGACCCCCAGAACACCGGGGCCGGAAAGCGCGGCAGCACGGGCCCAGGAGCGCCGCCGACCTACCGGCCCGCAGCGGCGGCGACAGCGGGCGACGACGCGGCGGCGGCGGCACGACGAACCGACAACGACGCGACGACGCGGCAGCGAAGCAGCGCCCGGCCAACCGACCGCCGGCCCGAGCGCACCCACCGGGTCCGCCACCCCACGGAGGGGACCAGGCCGCGACGCAGCGCGCCCGCAGGCAACGCGCCCGAGAGCCACCGAACGAGAGCCGGAGCCAGCCCGAGAGCCGCCGACCGAGCGAGGCAGCCCAGCCGAGAGCGGGCGGCCCCAAAGGGGCCGGGACACGGGACCGCGAGCGAGCAGGGAAAGGAGTCCGCACCCCCACAACGGGGGAGAGGCGGGCGAAGGGCGAACCAGGAAAGGCGAATCGGCGCGGCCCGCCCACCTCGGCGGGGCCGCAAATCCTGCGCGCGCGCGGGGGAGAGGAGGTGGAACCTGCGCGCGCGGCGGGCGAAGCGGAGGGCGGGCGACCAGCCGGCGCGCGGCGACGCGGGCGGGAGAGCGACGGGGCCGGGCCACGGGCAAGCGGGGACAGGGCAGACAAGGCGGCGGGCCACGGGGACGAGGGGCCGAGCGAGGGGCCCGACGGCGGGAACAAACCAGGACACCGCAGGGCCAACACACGGGCCGAAAACGGGCCACGCGGCGAAAGCAAGACGGGCCGCCGCGAAGGCGAAGCGAAGCGACAGGGAGGGGGCCAGGCCGGGGCCGAAGCCGCGGGCAGGACCGAGAAGCGGCACGCGAAACGCGCCCAGGCCAGAGATGGCGCCCCGCCTGCCGCGGTCAAATTATGATTTCACATGTGCGCGGCAAGGCTGGCCGGCGCCGCGGTGAACGCTCGCGTTCGCTCCCTCCGCGGCGGCCTAGCCGCGGCGCAGCCGACAAAGCCGCGGCTCCATATTTCTCGCGTTTCGCGTGCTGTTCGCCTCGCGGCGATGCGCCCCTCGCAAGCTCATTCGCTCGCTGCGTGGCGCGCGGACGCACGCGCAGCGCAGCCTCGCTGCTGTGCCCGCGAACAGCATTCGTGCCTCGGCTGTTCGCGCACAAAACGCCCACGCACCTTAATTCTTCACCCCAAACCGCCTCCCCCACCGAATGGCGCGGGGCCCTCATCCTTTTCGTCCTCGATCATCGACCATCCCCAATCCTCGATCATCTTCGGTCTTCCTTCATCCTCCTCGACTCTCCCAACCCTCCCCGATTGTCGATCCCCCTCGATCCCCCTCGATCGTCGTCGATGCCCCTCGATCCCCGACCATACATCACCGACATTTACCCCTGACATTCCCCACTCCACCCCCCGTCCACGACCTTCGAAATCCCTCGATCCTCGTCGATCCCCGTCCCCCAGGGCGGCGCCTTCAGCGCTTGCATGGTCGCGGGCGACACGAGCGCAGCCGCCGCGTGGAGGGCGTCCGCCTTGGGGCGGGGGCGGAGGGGGGCAGGGTGAGCGGGCAGGGGAGGGAGGGAGGAGGAAGGGAAGAAGGGAGGAGGGAGGCAGGGAGTGGAGGTTGTTTGGTTGGGACGCTCAGCACAAGGAGGACGAGCAGAACGACGAGGACGAGGAGCATCGAATCGGGTGTCCGCGAAAGAGCTGCAAGCAGCTGCTGCAGGGGGCATGTCGCAAAAATAGGAAGGGGCGGCGGAGGAGGAGGATTAAGAGGAGACGTGGGAGGAGGAGGAAAGAGCATATGAGGAGGGGATGCGTTTGTTCCCCACATCCAAAGTGGGGTTCTTGTTTTCTCTGCACACCCCCCGCGCAGGACCTCTCCTCCCCCCTCTCTTCCCCATCATCATCATCATCATCATCATCATCATCATCATCATCATCATCATCATCATCATCATCATAATCATCATCATCATCATCATCATCATCAATCATCATCATCATCATCATCATCATCATCATCATCATCATCATCATCATCATCAATCATCATCATCATCATCATCATCATCCTTATCATCATCATCATCCTTATCATCATCATCATCATCATCATCATCATCATCATCATCATCATACTCATACTCATCATCATCACCACCACCACCACCACCACCATCATCATCATCATCATCATCATCATCATCATATTCATCATACGCATCATCATCATCATCACCACCACCACCATCATCATCATCATCATCATCATCATACTCATCATACTCATCATTGTCATCATCATCATCATCATCATCATCATCATCAACATGAGCATCATCATTATGAGCATCATCATCCTCATCCTCATCCTCGTCCTCAATCTCATTCTCATCATCATCATCATCATGATCATCATCATCATCATCATCATCATCATCATCATCATCATCATCATCATCATCCTTATCATCATCATCATCATCATCAGCATCATCATCATCACACTTCCACACACTCACACTCACACACTCACTAACCCTCTCCGCTTCACTCACTCACTTCATCGTCATCACTCACAAACTCACACACTCACTCACACCCACACTCACTCACTCACTCACACACTCACACCCACCATCATGATCACCATCATCACCACTCGATCACTCACCCACTCTCCCACTGGCTCACTCACTCATCATCATCATCATCATCATCATCATCATCATGATCACCACCACCATCATCATCAACAACATGAGCATCATCATCATGAGCATCATCATCCTCGTCATACTCATCATCATCATCATCATCATCATCATCATCATCATCAACATCATCATCATCATCATCATCATCATCATCATCATCATCATCGTCATCCCCATCATCGTCATACTCATCATCATCACCACCACCACCACCACCATCATCATCATCATCATCATCATACTCATCATCATCATCATCACCACCACCACCACTATCATCATCATCATCATCAGCATCATCATCATCATATTCATCATACGCATCATCATCACCACCACCACTACCATCGTCATCATCATCATCATCATCATCATCATCATCATCATACTCATCATACTCATCATCATCATCATCATCATCATCATCATACTCATCATACTCATCCTCATCATCATCATCATCATCATCATCATCATCATCATCATCATCATCATCATCATCATCATCTGTATCATCATCATGAGCATCATCATCCTCATCCTCATCCTCAATCTCATTCTCATCCTCATCCTTATCATCATCATCATCATCAGCAGCATCATCATCGTCATCGTCATCGTCATCGTTATCATCATCATCATCATCATCATCATCATCATCATCATCATCAGCAGCAGCATCAGCAGCAGCATCAGCATCATCATCATCATCATCAGCATCATCAGCATTAGCGTCAGCATCAGCATCAGCATCATCATCGTCCTCAGCATCATTACCATCATCATCAGCATCATCAGCATCATCATCACCATCACCATCACCATCACCATCACCATCATCGTCATCATCGTCATCATCATCAGCATCATCAGCATCATCATCGTCAGCATCATCATCATCATCATCATCATCATCATCGTCATCAGAATCATCATCATCACCATCATCGTCAGCAGCATTTTCATCATCATCATCAGCAGCATCACCATCATCATCATCATCATCATCATCATCATCATCCTCATCCTCATTATCGTCATGATCATCATCATCATCATCATCAGCAGCAGCAGCAGCAGCAGCACCATCCACTCACTCACCATCATCATCATTTCTCACTCACTCATCACTTCGTCTTTTCTCACTCCCTAGCTTGAATATGGAGAAAGTATCAAGCGGGAGTGTGAGTGAATTTTGAGGAAGTTTCAGGCGGGAGCCCCCTTCCTATGGGGCCCGCACTTCACGTTGGTAATCCGAGCGGGTCATCCTAAACCGTGTAACTGTCGTCAATTTGGGGCTCCTGAGGCCTGAACTTGGAGGAAGTATCAAGCGACAGCTCTGTTTGTGAGTGAATTGTGAGGAAGTCTCAGGCGGGAGCCCCTTCCCTATGGGTCCCGCACTTCATGTTGGTAATCCCCAACTCTGTAACTGTCGTCACTTTTGGGCTCCTCAAATCTGAATATGGACGAAGTATCAGGCGGCAGCTCCGTTTATGAGTGAATTGTAAGGAAGTCTCAGGCGGGAACCCCCTCCCTATGGGTCCCGCACTTCGTGTTGGTAATCCGAGCGGGTCATCCTCAACCCTGTAACTGTCGTCATTTTTGGGCTCCTCAGGCCTGAATATGGAGGAAGTATCAGGCGGCAGCTCCGTTTATGAGTGAACTGTGAGAAAATCTCCGGCGGGAGCCCCCTCCCTATGGGTCCGGCACTTCATGTTGGTGATCCGAGCGGGTCATACTAAACCCTGTAACTGTCGTCAATTTTGGGTTCCTGAGGCCTGAATTAGGAGGAAGCCTCAGGCAGGAGCCTCGTCTGTGAGTGAATTGCGAGGACGTTTCATGCGGGAGCCCCTTCGCTATGGGGCACGCGTTTGGTGTTGGTAATCCGAGCGCGGTCATGCGAATTCTGTAACCATCGTCACTTTTCGGCTCCTCGGGCCTGAAGATGCAGGAAGTCTCGAACTGGGGCCTCGTGTGTGAGTGACTGGCGAGGAAGTCTCGAGCGGGGGCCCCTCCCTATGGGAGCCACTGGGACACGTGTAATACGCGCACACTCTGGGACGTGCTCCGGCACGCACTCACTGAGACATGTGTAGTGCGCGCACCCTGTGGGACGTGCCACGCACGCATCCACTGGGACACGTACGTTACAGTACACGCGCATCCTCTGGGACGTGTTTTGGCACGCACCCACTGGGACACGCGTAGTACGCGCACCTTTTGGGACGTGCTTTGCGGAGAATGAGGAGGAGGAGGAGGAGGAGGAGGAGGAGAAGATGAGGAGAAATAGAAGGAGGAGGAGGAAAAATAGGAGGAGGAGGAGGAAACGGGGCAGAGGGCACAGCTGAGGGCGAGAGGAGGGTGTCCCCCAGGGCGAGGAGGGAAATGCTAAGAGCAACTCAAACAAATGTTCATGGGGGTCCTTCCGTCGGAATATTTTTTGAACACCAAAAAAACATATATAGATATATATATATATATATATATATATATAGGCCCGCAACGGTTAGTGCAGCACTTGTGCGTTCCCGTAGGGTCACACGAGTGCGAGGCCCTTCTCTTGACGATTGGCTCAAATACCATGCCGTAAGCGATTACTTGCCCGACGGCAAAAGATAAGCATCCTCGGGAATTCGCATGGTATTTCAGCGCCAGTAATGACCAGGACTGGCGAACCAGAGCGCAAAATGACCCCACGCAGACCTCGAGCAGCACTTCGAATTATGCGGCAGTGCGTAAAATAACAGCGGCGACTACAACCAGTCATGTCGCTTCATCCCCCAAACTTTACCCGGTGCCCACCAAAGGGCGTTGAACTGCTGGACGGTTTTGTGTTTGCTGACTGCGTTTGGCGATTGTCCAAGCCTTTTTAACCCCGCCGTTTCCGACATATTCGGCCATCTTGCTCATGACTTCGACGTCCGGTTACGGCATTAAAACATTCCCCCAATGCGGGGGAATCGCTCTCGCCGTCTCTGTACACGCCCCGGCCCACAACGCCGCCTTGCGACGCTGAGCGTTCGGGCATTCCATTTCCCGTCGCCTAGCCCCCTTGACAATCCTAAGTCGGGCTGCGCTGCCCCCCCAAACCTACAGGCGAATGCGCCCTCCTCTAAAAATCTGGAACGCGTGAAACAAACGCGCCATTTCACGGCGAAGCGCCAGGGGGGCCGGGGGGGGAGCCCGTTACACGCTTCTGCGCGGACGCGAATACGAAGACGACGGCGGCCAAGGGGCGGGGGAAGTGGAAGGCGGGGCGCGCGAGGAGGGGGCGACGACGGGGGGCGGGGCGGGCAGAAGAGGAGGACGAGGAGGGAGGGCGACGACGAGGGCGAGGAACAAGCGGTGGAGCAAGACAGAGAACGCAAGGCCATAAGCAGCAGGAAAGAAGCAAAGGAGCGGCGAACTGAACGCGAAATGAAGGAACGGGCAGGGTCGCAGAGCCCCCGTCGGTACCCGCGTTTGAAGCCGCGCAGCCACGGGCCCCCCTCCCGAAGGAGCCGGTCGGTTTTCGCGCTCGGATCCGGGCGCCAGGGGGAGCTCCTCGCTCTTCGGAAGGCCCGGAAAGGCGGGCCCTCGACGCCACCTCATGGGGCCCCCAGAGGCTCGTGAGGGGCCCCCCAGACAGATCGCAGGACGGTCCCGGGGCCCGTCTCCGTCTACACGACGCCCGCTTCCTGACGAGGAGCCCTGAGAGCTTCTGGGATGATCACGAGAGGCTCCTGCGAAGACCTCAAAGGACTCCCGACACGCCTCTGAAAAGGCTGCCGAGGACGGCCTTGGGCACACCTCACGCAGCCGAAGCCCACCGC